GGGGCGGAGTTGCGGGGGTTGGGGGTGCTCAAGACCATGTCAAACAACATATTGTATTTAAAATATGTGTGTTGAATTTGAACTGACAATGTTGAATTTGAACTGACAATGTTGAATTTGAACTGACAATGTTGAATTTGCACTCTGTATTGTTACGAATGATAGTTCTATTGTGATATTTGAGCTTCCTAGTGCTACATGTGCTCTCTCTGTTTTGATGCTTGAATTTTCTATGCTGAATTTTATTAGACTATGTTGAATAAATTTTGCTATGCTTCATTTGAACGCTCTATTTTGATATTTGATCGGGAAAAGGTGTATATCGTAATCCTGGACTTCTGGCTGTCGTGTCCATGGCGACTGTTGAGATGTATGTCTCTGGGGTATCAAGATGTTTTTGGAAAGGCTGGGAAAACGCAATAACCTAGCTGTTACTGAAGGTTAGAGGAAAACGTTATTAGGTCTTTTAGGAGGCAGGCCTTTTAAAAATATTATTTTAAATCTTAATTTCATGGGCACATCATTCCTGAAGATAAACATAAGTTCTCGATAAAATGTATTCCACACGTTGGAATGGAAGTCTGGTTTCTTGTTTGTAACAGCGAAGAGCCTAACTACTAAAATAAAGATGTCGTTTAAAAAAAAATAATTAATCTGAAACGTAGGTGTTTTACACCCCCTCGGACACAATAAGGACCAAAGACGTCAGCGACACAGCTGTGTTGCTAAAAGGTGCCAAGCACTTCGAGAAAAATAAATCAAAAGCGAACATAAAGATTATACATTTGTGTATTTTTTTCCTTCTCTTTGAACATTCCAAACTGTGAGGGAAGGAAGGTAAACATGCAAAACTCCACGGAGAAAAAAAGATCAAACGTAGGAATAGATGAAAACGTGAATTTATGTCCTGCTCTTGTTAAGATTCAATTCTACTTACTTGACGTCCAGCCTTCTTTATAACTCCTACTTCGTGCACAAGCATTTTATTACAGCGGAAACCGAATTGCAAATCTCCATCAATGACGCCCTTCAGACCATAATTATTCGTCTTTGAAATCCCAACAGAATCAAAATCTCTCAAGAATAACCAAACCAACACGGAAACATGACGTGTCAGCGTGAACTTGGATTTGGACAATGTTGTGCACTAAATCTTGACCTGACCTTATGGTACCAGCTCCCACAATAAATGACGGGGAAATTTCTTCCCCAAACACACGAAAATTGGCAATTTCTTTCCTATTTCATGAGAGAGTGTGGCTATTAGAAAACACTGATAAGTTCTGATATCTTTTCAAACGTTTTCACACTTATTCCATTACAATTATATTAATAATAAAATAAATTACACTTTTATTTGTCTTGGAAGGGCACTTTGGTTTACAATGGCAGGCATACATTACATACATAAATACATAATTATAAGTACGTACATACATACATGCATAAATACACAATATTACACAAATTCAGCGGCATGTTTGTAAACAGTTCCGTATTTGTGTAATATTGTGTATTCGTGTATGTATTTATGCATGTATTTATACATTTATTTATCTATGTACGTATTTATAATTATGTATTTATGTATGTATGTTTGCCATTGTAAAACAAAGTGTCCTTGCGGGACAAATAAAGAGTGTAATTTATTTATTATTTTTCTTTTAGCTCTCCGGCTGGCGACAGAGAGACGTCTCTTTCTTCCCGCGACACCCAAAAGGGTATAATGGGCAGATACAAGTAAAAAGTAAGTAAAGCTTGCCACACCGACTATATGATTCATCTTGTTCAGAGCTCACTGATAGGAGAAACTGTCGTGGAAAGAAACGGTTAACCGGTTATGTAGCAACTGTGTACACACAAATCGAGAGTCGAGCGTGCAGTTTTAGCATGATGAGACACGTACAATAATATTATCTCAAATAACAAAGAATGCCTCCTCCACTCTTACCGATACAAGAAATCTTATAGCACGCAATCGAGGTAATAATATGAATATAGCATTGTTAATTACACTTTTTAAACATTCGTAGAGCGGGTGCCTTGTGTTAGTCATGGATGGTCGGATCAATAAATGTACTTTGGGATTAAAAGCAACCCCACCTGTGTCTGTAATGTTGAGGTTAGGCACTTCTCTGAAGCACGCTAGAGGCTTTAGTTCGATTCCCGAGGAGGGAGAGATTTTTCTTTTTAATTGTAATTTTATTTTCAAAGGCTAAAACAGCACATGAACAAGGATGGCTTTCAATAAACGATTGACAGTCGAGAATTTTGTTCAAGTATTCCGGTCTTTCTGTTGGGATGTTGTATCCCTCTCAGCCCTGGTCTTTCTGTTGGGATGTTGTATCTCTCTCAACCCGGGTCTGGCTGTTGGGATGTTGTATCCCTCTCAACCCTGGTCTTTCTGTTGGGATGTTGTATCCCTCTCAGCCCTGGTCTTTCTGTTGGGATGTTGTATCTCTCTCCACCCGGGTCTGGCTGTTGGGATGTTGTATCCCTCTCAGCCCGGGTCTGTCTGTTGGAATGTTGTATCCCTCTCAACCCGGGTCTGTCTGTTGGGATGTTGTATCCCTCTCAGTCCGGGTCTGTCTGTTGGGATGCTGTATCCCTCTCAGTCCGGGACTGTCTGTTGGGATGTTGTATCCCTCTCAGCCCGGGTCTGTCTGTTGGGATGTTGTATCCCTCTCAGTCCAGGTTCGCCCCGACACGCAGATCTGAAGCCCACCTCCTAAATGAGCTAACGTGTGTCGATATGAAATAATCAGCGAACGTAACGTTATTGAACATTCTATCTAGTAATTAATGAAAAGAAAAATTGTGATCATGATTTATATTTATCGTCATATTAAACTTCTTTTTTTCAGCATTTTGCCTAGAGTGCTTGTTAACACTTGTGATCATATCTAATAAAAATAAATGGTGAATACTAGGAGAAAAAAAATTACACAAAAAGATTGTTTTAAAATATGTCAACATTAAATGTTCTCCACATAATCACACCAAGTATTAAGTTGACCTTGCTTGACATAACTCATCAAGCCTGAATGAATTGTCGTTGAATCTATCAATAAATTTCTTCAAAATGAGACGTTCTCATAAGCAGGCCTGCTATTCATACTGATCCAACACCCTCAAAGTACCGATACAGAGTTTGCGCTGTTACATTGAAATTACTTGTCGTCCTCATTGAACCTACGCTCACAAACTACTCTCTCACAGAGGCCAAAGTCACGCATCAACGCGCTCTGTGAAACTCTTGCATCAACTTTGCTCATCACCTTCTGAATCTGGAAGTTAAAAACAGTTACACACTTCTCTTATTTTTGTATCAGAACAGTACAGATGGAATTAATTTGCTTTTAATCTTGTTTACTCTCTTTCATAATGTTCATACTAAATTAAAACCGCGATCTTTTTTTGTAGAAAGCGTTGATGTTGAACAAACAGATGGCAATGTTATTAATTCACATGATCTTAATATCTACCCGAATGGGCAGAGTAGTGAAAAACGAATCCCACACACATACACACACGCGACGGGTATGATTTGAGGGCAAAATCCATACCGATACATTCATGTCACAATTATTTATTCTGTATTCAGAGTTACTATAGAGGTAAAAATGACATTTCAGATTTACAAACTTGTATAAATGAGTTCCTCTGGTTCTGCCTCTTCATTTGAGGATGAGCATTGGTTATCTCAACCACACTGACAGTGACAAGTGACAGCACTGAGAGTCAAGTGTTGGCAGGTCTGTTCTGTACATCTTCTCTCAACTTGTCAGTTTGCCTCGTTTCAACACCAAGGTAACCGTTGTACATACATAACATCATGTGGCGTCGGTGGCCTGGTGGTTAGGCTCTCGGACTCTCAACCGTAAGGTCGTGGGTTCGAATCCTGTCAAGGACCCGACGTATTTGTCCTTGGGAAAGGCACTTTACACGAATTTTCCTCACTTCACCCAGATGAGAATGGGTACCCGGCTATAGACAGCGAACGATCTTGTCAGTTTGTTAGTGTTTGAGCGCTTAATAGGCTGCTTGCACTGTATGCTTCCCGGGAAGCTGAGAATGTTTCGGAGTGTTCTATGGTCTGCTGGGGTAATAATATAGCGTAAAGCGCATAGAGCGGGGATCGGCGCTATACAAATGTTATTTAGTATTATTATTATCATCTCTCGGATGGTCGATGTTTATCGTAGTATTATGGACTCTCTCTCTCCATTAATCTCTCTCTCCCTCTCCCTCTCTCTCTCTCTCTCTCTCTCTCTCTCTCTCTCTCTCTCTCTCTCTCTCTCTCGTTTTCTCCCTCCCTCTCTCTTTATCTCCGTCTCTCTCTCTCTCTCTCTCTCTCTCTCTCTCTCTCTCTCTCTCTCTCTCTCTCTCTCTCTCTCTTCCTCCCCCTATCTCTCTAGCTCTCTCCAATTATGTATACAACATGATTAGATACAGAATATAATTTACACATATCATGCACTAATAACAATGTTTATATTCTTCCAAACAAAGCTTTTTGATCAAATGCCTGAGACCAGGAGAGGAAAAAATCAACAAAGAATACAACAAAACTTAAGGGGGGGGGGGGCTACACCTGGAGGCTATCTCGCTTATTACTGGACCGAATTTTACCAAATTTCACACATATAACAAGCATAGTAAGGAGTTTTAAAATCCGCCATCAAATTTGAGAAAAAAGTTTCGTTTCCATGGATACGCCGACATATTGGATTTTATTGACATGTCTTATGTAATGAATATCGCATTTATTGCTCATGGAAGTTGATTGTTTTTTTGCATGCGTGCGTACAAACATTAGATCTAAAAAAATTATCTGTTGTTTTTTCCTAAACGAATTAGAAAATATTTTAATGAATTTTTTCCTGAGGTAGCATTCAAGTTTACGAAAAATCCGTGAAAATCCACACTCTAGACAACACCAACAAAAATCTATTCCATATATCAAAAATTCAACAGACAAGTTTTTAGTATTACCTCTTCTCTTCACTCTGTGAAAATTTCATGAAGATTGGATGAAAAATGGTGGAGTTATTCAAAAAAGCATAGAGAAAAGTCGCGTTTTGAGAAAACGGCCGATAAAGAAAAATGAAATACTGACTTTATGAGGAAATGGCGGCTACAAACATGCCCGGTATGGGAACAGTACGGTTTTTGGGGGTTCTTATGCAATGAAATAGTTGTAGGAGAGGCTGAAGAAGCTAAAAATGCCTACAACTCAAATTCCATGATTTTGAGCCGAATTTTGACTTTGGGGGTGTAGCCCCCCCCCCCCCCCTTTAAAGAACTGTTATATTCGCTCCTTTTTCTTGTATCATGAGCGCATGCACAAAACAGTGACAGTGAGGTCCGTGCTTTAGAGCCGTGAGCAGTAAAATCTTTTCACAGGGAAAACCTTGACGTGTCGTAGTTGAGTTCCTTACTTGTCAATGGAAATAAAAAGCCACAAACAAAATACATAATATGTACATGAGTTTAACCCCCGTGCTTCATAGAAAAATAATGTATTTTATTTAATAATACGATAATAAGAATAACAATAATAACGATAATAATAACAATAATCATAACAATAGTAATAATAATAATGAGGATAATAATAATAATAATAATAATAATAATAATAATAATAATAATAATAATTATTATTATTATTATTATTATTATTATTATAGTAATAATAATAATAATAATAATAACAATAGTAATGATGATGATGATGATGATGATGATAATATGTCAGCTTTTCTTTTTGGTACCTTGAGTCTCAATCATCGCGGATCAAAATTGACAGGGAGGGCTGTCAACAGTCTGTCTCATAAATAGATAATGATCGTAAGTGTGTCATTACTTACTTACTTTTACTTTTTCCTTCCTCTGGTATCCTTAGGATGTCGAGGGGAGGTGCAGGTTTCGGTCCTGTGCTAGGTGTGTAGTGTCTGTCATAGATGTGTTATGTTGTTCCAGGACCTTTTTAACCCCATCCAGGCGAGTCTTTCTTGGTCATAAATACTCGAAAAATGTTTCGGTTGCTGTATGCAAAACACAGACAAGCGCCTATTTATTGCAGTTTGGCATGTAATAGAGTTCTCCCCTAAGGTATTTAATTTACGTCGATTACAATCCTTGCAATTATCTGTTATGTATTTGGCAACTTGGAAACACATGTATTACTTTTCCCATAAAAATACGACTCCCACAGAGTTGAAAGTTCGCAAGTACCTGCAAAAAGATAGATAGGTCCCCATTACGGAGCCCGATTTTTGGTTTATTCTTTTCCTGAACTTAGAAAAATATATTTGACAAAAGTTCCGTACTTCGTTGGCCTTTGTGATTATTCCTCTGAGAAACGAAACAAACCTGAATAGCTGTCCTTGAGAACGGAAGTGCCGGAAGTGATATTTCGCGATGCGCATTTTGGTTTTTGGAAGTATAAATCTACACCTTCGAATTGTTTACATCTTTCAAGATATATTTTTGCTCCACTCCAGTAGAGTGTAGATATAGAAGGCCAATGACTTTCACTTGATGTTAATGCACCGATCATTCCTTTCATGGAAAGGGGGCACAGCTAGTTAGGTACAAGTTTTGTGTGTCAATCCATCCCCAGACCCGGTTGAGTGGCGACATCTGAAGCAATGAGAGCCTCAACCATACTGGACCTGGTGGGGCTAGTCCTGCTGACCTTCGCAGGTATCTACTGGCTCCTGGCCTCGGGAACAAACTCTCTAAGTCTTTCTTTCTAATTGCTTTTTTTTTCTTTTGCAAGATTTTTTTTTACGTCGCTCGCAACTGCATAAGGTCATACGACCGCGCGGGACACATTAAACATTTTCAGTTTCCCAGGAATTAATTTTGAATTTTGCCCAGGTGGCGGCAGAAGCCTACTCTTATCGATTTTAGGACCACCAAGGGGTCTTTAACATGTGCAACTTTGCAACTTGCACACATAACCTCTGAGATTTTCCACCTGAATTCGAGAAGGTAACCGGAGAAATACTGTTTTGAGAAAATCGAAGGTAAAGTTTTTGCCCCTTGTTCAGTTTCTTTAAAAGACTAGGAGAGTTGTCTCTATAACCAAACAAATATACACACCAATTATGCCCACTTTTGGTGTAGGTCAAGATTTCTGGAAACCTCCGAAATCTGCGTTAGCCCGCTTGTCCTTGAAAGCGACTTTTATGACACTGATTCTGCTCACAGGTACCACAGGTCTCCCCACGGACATAGCGTCCGGCCCGACATTTCCCGCCTCCATCTCGTCCAGTTACAATCCCGACTGGTCACTTCCGGCCGCCCACCCCGCCCCAACCCAACCTCTGGAGCCCACAGCGACCGACCCTCAGGAGCCATCCATCTTCGATCCGTTCAACGATTTTGATTGGCCTTTGTTCCCGAATTCTGCCGCTAATGATCAGGGCCGCACACTCTCCCCAGACATCAGTCCTTCTCCCTCCAGCTCTTCCCCAGAACCGAGTAGCGCTGAACAATCGACCACACAACGCACCACGACAACCCCAACTCCTGAGCCAACTGAGGCGGTTCCGGATATAACGGGCAGCTGTAAGAAGCAGATGGACTTGCTGTTTATCCTGGACTCATCGGCCAGTATGAGCGAAAAGGACTTCAAGAAGGAATTGGACTTTGCTGCTCGTATTGCAGGTTAGATTGGGTTGGGTTGGATTGGGTGGGGTTGCAGCTGTTATTGTATTGGTAAATTTAATTCATTACGTGTAATGTTTACGTATATGTGTATGTATCTGTGTGTTTATCTGTGTGTGGTGTGTATGTGTGTGTGTGTGTGTGTGTGTGTGTGTGTGTGTGTGTGTGTGTGTGTGTGTGTGTGTGTGTGTGTGTTTTGTGCATAATAAAGTATGTATGTATGTAGTTTGTGTATTACACCCTCTGTGAAATATGAAAATGACAGTAGGTATTTTGTGTGTGAGTGTGGCGGTGTTGTTTTTGTTGTTGTTGTTGTGAGTATGTTATATGCGTGTGTGTGTGTATTATGAAGTATGTGAGCTTGTAGAATGTATATTACTCTTAAATGTGAAATATGAAAATGACAGCAGCCGTTTTGTGAGTGTGTGTGTGTGTGTGTGTGTGTGTGTGTGTGTGTA